TATGATGTAAAGAATGCTTTCCTTCATGGTGACCTAACATGGGAAATTTACATGAACATCCCTCCGGGAGTTGAAGGGGACACAGGTAACAAGGTGTGCAAGCTGAAAAAAGCCATTTATGAGTTAAAACAATCTCCTAGAGCATGGTTTGGTAAATTTGCAAAAGTCATGAATGAATCTGGGTATAATCAAAACCAAGATGACCACACTCTTTTCATTGAACATTCAGCTGCAGGGGGAGTGACTGCTCTTTTAGTCATTGTGGACTACATCATAGTGACTGGAAATGATGAGAAAGAGAAACATGAATTGAAGCTGAGACTAGTAAAAAAATTTGAAATCAAGGAATTGGGGAAATTGAAGTACTTCCTCGGTCTTGAGGTGGCATATTCCATACAAGGGATCTTCATATCTCAGCAGAAGTACGTGATTGATTTATTGACAGAAACAGGGAAGACTGGGTATAAGCCAATCGCTACTCCAATAGATCCAAACTATAAGTTGGGAGAAGCTAAAGAAGAACCAGCTGTGGATAAAAGAATGTACCATAGATTGGTTGACAGACTCATATACCTTGCTCACACTCGACCAGACATAACATATTCTGTAAGTATGATCAGTCAATTCATGCATGATCCTAAAGAACCTCATCTTCAGGTTGCCTACAGGGTACTGCATTACTTGAAAGGCAATCCGGGGAAAGGAATCTTGTTCAAAAGGAATGACACTCTTACTCTGGAAGCCTACACCGACGCTGACTATGCTGACTCCATAGTGGATAGAAGATCAACTACAGGATATTGTACTTTTCTTGGAGGTAACCTAGTGACATGGAGAAGCAAGAAGCAGAATGTAGTGGCAAGGTCATCTACAGAATCAGAGTGCAGGGCTATTGCTCAAGGATTATGTGAATTCCTGTGGCTGAGAATCATCTTGGATGATTTAAGAATCTCATGGGAGGGTCCTATGAAGCTTTACTGTGACAACAAGTCTGTCATTAATATAGCTCATAATCCTATACAACATGATAGAACAAAGCATATTGAGATTGATAGACATTTCATCAAAGAAAAACTAGAGGAAGGGTTAGTGTGTATGTCCTATGTTCCATCAGAAAAACAATTAGCCGATATTTTAATAAAGGGGCTGAATAGTTCAAGTTTCCATGATCTTGTATCCAAGCTGGGAATGTAAGACATCTATTCCTCAGTTTGAGGGGGAGTGTCGAGATGTGACTGAGATGGAAATAAAGTTGTGAGAATTAATTCTAATTTCCTTATTTAAAGAAATTAGAATTACTTGGTAAATTCCTTAAATTAAGGAAATTAGAATAAATTTGTAATCCCTTATATTAAGGGAATTAGTTAAATAGTTTCCTAGTTTTTCTCCTTTTAATCTGCTATATAATACCTTGTATGATCAATTCAAAGAATAAGAAGAAATACAACTTATTTCTTTGATTTCCCACACTATCTTTGTAAAAGTGAAATACATCTGTACATGTGTAAGTACAAAACCAAGGTGTTACAAGTGTAAATATCAAATCTTAGGTGTTTGATGTGTCAATACATAAGAATTGTGCGATATGTATGTAACTTTTCCAAATATCAAACTGAAATAATTCATGCTGTGGAGATCAGAAATTTTCCATAATGAGATGTCAGCACCATTACCATGTGAAAATTGTATAATAAACACATACTGATATTGTGTTGCCTACGATACAGAGAAGTTCAATTACAAAACAATCCTATTTACACGTTCACCCATATAAAATTGTTTAATTTTATTTTATTTTGTATATGTAATTACATGAAACAAAACATATTTAATATGTTATAACATATTAAGTTGTTTTTAAGAACACTCAAAATAATTTTTAGACGTTTTGATTATTTTTAAAAACAAGCTAACGCTTTTGAAAACAAAAGATAAAAATATGCAAAAAGTGTTCTGAACAAACACATTTTTTAAAATAAAAACATAAATAAATAAATAAATAAATAAAAATGATCCCAAACAAGCCCTAAGTTATTAAATAGTTTTCTACTTGCTGGGCTGATTTCCACCATTGTGAATAGAAAGTTATGGTTCCTTTCACGTAAACAACCTATCATCAATGCAAGGATGTTTTGGGTGTAAAAGATTTAGGTGGTATTGCAAAAATAAAATTTTGGTGTTATATATGTAATTACATGGGATTTCAGTAGTATGTATGTAAATGCCTCTTCTTATAAATTTTCAAAACCTGCTTCCTAACATCAAAGTACCAAATGAGCACTTACAACAAATACAGTGAAATGAGGGGAAAAAAAAATTACCAAGCAGGCCGGTATAGTATGAAGGAGGCACATCCGTGTATTTAATCTTAAAAAGATTTTCAGGCGAAGTAATAAGGCTATACTCTTCCCATCCAGTTGGTCCCCAGACATAATCTCCTTCCTTAAAGTTTGGATGATTAGAATCCACAACTTTAGCCACACCAAAACCAGTTAATACCTGTTGTTAATAAAAATAAAAATTAAAACCATTTAAGCACAGTATTTAAGAAAAATCACATGTTCATTAATTTTGGCATGCATGTTGTCCATCGAGCAAGGGTGTAACTGAGCCAAACCAAATCATGAACCATTTCAAGTTTGGCTTGAAAAATAACTCGTGAGCTAAGCTCGATAAGCAGATGAGCTAGTCTTGACTCAACTCAGTAGCTATTGATTTGACTCATTTAAGAAAATATTAATATAAAATGCACTTTAAATATACTAAAAATTAAGAGCTTCAGTAGAAATTATTAAAAATATTAACAATTCTATATGATTTTCTTATACCTAATTATTTCATTTTAATTCTCCATGATTGCTCATTCTTATTGTCATTTTATTACAACAATTTCAATTAAAAACAGTCTCTTTAATAATGAAGAAAAATAAGATTATGAGTCGGATGAAACATGTAAAATTAAGCTCGAGCTCAAACTCGATTGATTAATGAAGCTCAAGCTTAAACATATGGTTGCTTGAGCTTGAGCTCTAATTCGATTAATTAATCAAGTTCAAGCTCAAGTCTGGGGTGGCTCAAGCTTGGCTCGACTCTTTTACACATCTACTATGAAGAATTTTTTCATTAAAAAAAGGATTAGCTTATGGTTTCTTTATATTCTATATCAATTTTAATTTTTGGACAAAAAGAAATTATAATGCATTCTAATAGTCTTACTATAAATGTCATTAATTATAAATATTAAGTACTATTCCTCAATGCAATTAAATTTTTAGAAAATACAATTGAATTTTAAAAAATATATATAACAAAATTATAATATAATACAACATGACGGAAAAAAATATATGAAATAAAATTTTATTTACTAAAATATTTGATAATGAAACTAAACTAAGAGATTGTACATCCAAAAATGAATTTTTTTAGCAACAGGATAGCCCAAATATTAAATGAGTCTCATGGGGATCGAGCTCATTAACCATGTACTAGACGACCTGACCCTGATAAGACTGATTGTACTCGTTAGTTGTACTTTTTAAGATGACAAGCTATAAGGTTTATTGTCGCTCAGAAGGACCTGACAAGTACCTTCGATGAAGCTCGTCAACATTCACGAGAGTTTCTACAACTGTTCTTGCTAATCTTACGCCTTCAAGCGAGTTCCTCCACATGAGTTTGCTCATGCTCCTTGAGTTCTTTTACCGAGCTCGCCTGCACCAGTAAAGATCTACTAAGCTCGTCGACATCTATCTAGCCACATCACCGAGCTCGATGAATTTTCCATTGTCATAGAGCGAAAGAAAATCAATTCCCTCATCATCCATACCTATTTATTGGTGCCCTGATATCTATGATGAGAATCTTATCAACGGCGAATCTATGCAGGCCTCATACAGTACGACCTATAATATAGTATTTTATTTATTTTTTAGAGCCCTATACGAGTACGTACGTTTTGCGATGTACAAATAAAAGTAATAGGAGGGAGAAGCAAGATCTTTTTTCCTCTTTTCTTCAGTCGCCACAATTGAGAGAGATGTACTCTCTGAAATCCCCATCTACCTTCCACATCCTTCACAAGGTCTCTCCAAAATTGTATGAATTCACATATTATATAGAATCATAAGTCCTAAAGGGATTCAACAAAAAACATTTATAAGCATAAAATATTACATAAACATGTATGGAAAGCAAATCCAATGAAAAAAAGAGAAGGGTCATTTGCATAAATACCACCCAATTCTTATACATTCACATATCTAACGCCTGAACTTCTTACATTTATACCACCCAAATCTCCCAAATCACGTCAAAACTACCATTATTTTACCCTCCATTGAATGAAGTACGCCTTCCAATATATAGCTAAAGAGGCATAAATGTAAACACTGAAGTTTAGTTGTCAGCTATATAAACACATAAGAATTGAGTTATATGTATGCAAATCTTCCAAAAAGTAAAAAAGAAGGTGAAGAGCCCTAGAAAACTAGAGAATAATTAAAAGGAAAGTAACCTCGCCGGGGGTGAAATCGGAGACGAAGCTGGGCTCTTCGTGCTTGGACATGCGTTTTCTCATGTATGGATCGCAGGAGAGGTAGAGATTCTTCACCAAGACCGCCGGCGATCCTTCGGCTACCTTCAATCGTACGGTCCCCGTCGTTAACACCTCCATATCGCTCTCTTTAGGGAACCCTGTTATGTAGTGCTTCAGGACTACCTTCTTGTTGGCCACCACTGCCTCCTCTCTCTTCTCCGACATTCTCTCTCTCTCTCTCTCTATCGCTCCCTCGCTCTGTGTTAACCCTCCTCTCCCTGCTGTGCGTTTCTCCTTCACATGTTTATGTGTAGAACCACCGTGAGACAGTGACAGTGCAAGCTCCGCGTAACACATGCGTAAAGTTCAAAATTTTAAATTACCATGTATAACTAATATTTATTTATATAACATTTTAATATCACAATCTTATAATAATATTTCTATGTGAAATAAATATTATATTAAAATAATTTAATATTTTAAATGCCGCATAAATAAATATCATAAGAAAATCTTGTTGTTGATCATCCATACTTGGATGAAGAACTCTTGTTGGCATGGTGAGACTACGCTATAGAGGCAAAGGCTGAATCACCGTAACCCTATAGTTAGCTCGTTCTTCGATGAAGAGAGCCACTCTGATGACTAAAAGACTCTACTATATTGCCAAATTTTAGTCCTGGATGATAAGCATCAGAGGCGTTTGTGAGATGGTTGGTGATAGTGAGGAACTGAATTCTTTCCTCGCGTCAGATCTTCCAGAATTTAGATCGATGACTTTGGTTGACTTTCTTGTAATGGTAAGTTCGGATGTCATTTGTCATGCTTTCGTACAATTGATTCAAATTTGAATTGTTTAGTCGTTCTTTTAATCATTCTTCTAGTTCGGGCGGTCATCGGCTTTGGTTGAAAGGACTACATCCGATCAGATAAGTGAGTTTCTTAGTTTTATATCAGATAAGTGGGCTTCTTGGTTCTTTTTTTAATTCTCCGTTGGATCTCCCCGTGACCCGCACTGGCACAATTTTTTTATGTACATATTTGAGTTCCACAATTATCTGACTTCTTGAAAATGACGTTGAGAAAATAATAAGAAAATTAACCGCAAAAAGTATATATCATTTATGTTTTAATCATTGACATAATAATCAAACTCCCTAAAATTATGCGCACTTGTTTCTTATAAATAGAGTGTGATTGGACTCTTCGTGTTTCATATTTACTATGCATCACTTCGTCTAAATCGGTCGGCTTCTGCCTTCCACTCGCTTTAATGGAGAGCATGTAGAATCCTCTAATTGAGCTCCCTAGCAGGGAAATGTTTCTTGCCGCCTTCGGAAAACCTAAGGAGTGGCACAATCCAGAAGCTGAGAAGAAGAAAAAGAAATTTGCTGTCAAGAAGAGAAAAAATAATAAGCTGGTGGATTAAGTGGGGTCCTTTGACTCATTTTTCGGTCCTCGGGAGAGGAAAAATCAAGTGGATGATGGAGGTAGATTGGACGACCCAAGTGTAGATCTATTTAACCTTATGTTCTGATTTGAGACAAGCCGATTGAATAGACCACGCAGGAAGCTATTGGCGCTCTGTCGCTGCCTTGAGGTACAAGAAGCTGCTAGTGCTTTGGTGCCACATGGTGAGAGCGGTGGCTAGTGTGTCTATTATAGGGACTGAGTTAGATTGAATCCTTCGTATAAGGAGCCTCAATCTTGCTTGTTAGGTTTTGGTTTTTTCTGCCTCCTTGAATTTACATTATTTATTGGTGCAACTGACCCAGTCGACATGGGAGATGACTCACGCTCCAACACATGTTGATGAGGATTCGACCACAATGCTAGTGGTGGTCGCCCAGGCACCAAGTGAGAGCAAAGATGGTGGGGTCATCCTTCCAGACAGTTTCATGAGGCTCATGGGGAAGTAACTGTTGGATGTCGGTTGTCTCCCATATCGTTGGCCCATCTCCTGGAAGAGACAAAGAATTTACTTGCTCGGTCGGTCGAGATTCAATAAGAGGAGGAGATGCATGAGTCACAGACTCGTGGAGAAGAGATGGCAGCCCTACGTCTGGAGCCGTTGGAAGTCCAAGAGGATTTCCGTACAACGGGCTCAAGCTGAGATGGATCAGATGACCCAGATGAAGTTCAGAGAGAAATTTTTGTATAGGAGGCTACTTTGGAAGGGACATATCTTAGCCGCTCTATGACATCCCATAGTTTTAAGAATAAAGATATTATTCTTAAGGAAGAGGTAGCCAGGCTATATGAGACATGTGTCTTTCATTATGCCATAGTTTTAAGGACTGCTAAGAAGAAAGCATGAGAGACTGCGAGCAAAAATTGCCCAACCTGAAGGGGCGGCCCTTCTTTATTATATATCAGAGTCATCCATTGTAATCCAAAGATCTCAAAGACAAATTAATTCTTATTGAGAGAGAAGCTTCTTCGAACCCAGCTAAATTTTTTTTATTAGTTGGAGGTCCCTCCGGTGTGCAACACCAAGAAACTAAACAAAAGTCAAGTCAACTGGAAACGAGTGAAATCGAGGGTGAGGGCTTGGAAGAAAGTCTAGAAGCGAGATCAGTCACCCCTCAGTCAGCCACTACAATTTTTATTGAGTTGTTAACAAGGGTCGAATCCATTCATATTCTCCTCATCTGAATTTGAGCCTAAGCCGGCTCAGGCTCGACTCGATAAGTGACTCGTGAACTGAGCTCTATGAACTAACAAACAAAACTTAAGTTAGTCTCGACTCAACTTGGTATCTTGTAAGCCGGCTCGTTTAAAAAATAATTATTAAACAAATACTTAAAATATATTAAAATTCAATATATTTCTTTAAATTATTAAAAATGCTTAAAAATATTTTATATTTTATATCAAATCATTTTTATTTATTAATTCTTTTAGATACACATTCTATTTATCATTTTATCATTGATACTGCATCAATAAATTTTCATCATCCGAAACAAATCTCGATGCAATCTTTTGAAAAAGAAACATTCAAATTTTAATTAAAAGTCATCCAGAGCTCCGATTTCAACAAACTTATGGTCAAACTGACTGAATCGAGGAGATAGACCTAATGATATCAAAGTTAGTCCAATCTGAATCAAATCAAGCCCGGATCGAGTCATTAAACCACTATTGAAAGATTTCCGGACATATTTGGAAGGTCAAACGGTTGCCGAATATGACAAGTTTATATTCGAATCAAGCCCCTCGACAAGACGAATAGAACTAGCCCAAGATCACTTATTCCGACAACATGAAAGCACTCAAATGTCCATTGATCCCTGTATGGTCGAGGTAAACTCTTTGAAGCGTCCAATCAAAATTGTTCATATTCCTTCATTAATTACACTCAGAGCATTATAAATAGACCCCCCACCCCTCACATGAGAGAAAGACCGAAGCCTAGAGAGAGAGGTTGATGTCTTGAGGAGAAGCTGTAGCTCAGCATCACCGCCGACCGTTGTTGACCACCACCAACCTCCATCGACAAATGTCGACCATCGTCGACCATTGTCGTCAGCAGTCGACCACCGCCGATCTTCGTCCATCACTGTCGACCGTTGTAGACCACCACAAACCGGATATCGTCAGTCATTACTATAACTTGGAAAATCTAGTAACAATTTTCCGTCAGTGGGACAAGAGCTCATCACAACGGTTTATTTGTCAACAACGACCTATGTGGTTATCAACTCATGCAGCTTCCAACTCCGACCCTTACGGTTTGCGTGCGTCATTCAAACTCACCCCTACGACCTATGTAGTTCACAGCTCGTGCAGTTCTCGACTCCAGCCCCCGCGGCCTATGGACATCATTCATACTCGCCCGAACGACCTAAGTGCTCATCAACTCATGTAGCTCTTGACTCCAGCTCTCGCAGCCTACGGACTTCATTCATACTCGCCCCTACGGTCCATGTGGTTTACAGCTCGTACAACTTCCGACTCCAATACTCGCGGCCTACGGATGTCATTCATACTCGACACTACGGTCTATGTGATCCACAGCTCCTGTAACAGTTTAATACGGTTTCTTTGGCCAATCAACATTTCCGGAGCAACCATCTACAACACTCACGACGGATACTACCTCCTCAACAATCATCAATGCCCTTGCAACTTGTTGTCTGTTGTCACTAAGAACTGCAAACAAATTATAGCGACACAACTTTGTAATCTCATCTTCCTTAATTTAGGGGAAGAATGGACCAGTGTACGCATCATTCATAGCGAATTATTTTAATTGGGTCAGGCCTCATGATTTTCCCCATTTCAAGAGTTTTCCATGTAAAAGTTGAGGTGTCTCATCCCTCTTACTTCTCTTCTTTTATAAATATGTGCTGAATTCTCGTGCAACACTAAGACGATAGTCTATTACTCTACTGCCGCAAATTTTCTGGCACGCATCAATTATAACATTAATTTAAAATAAAATCATTTTCTCTATTTCAAACTAAACATGCTGGCTCATTAGCCAGCTCGAACTCGCAGAGTTAAGCTCAAACTAGCTAAAGCTCAAGTTAAGGATAACTAGAGCTCGGCTCAACTCATTTACATACCTCGTATAGAGAGAACACGCATTTCATTTATCCAAATGAAGAACTAGTTTTGGAGAAAAATATTTAAAATCTATTGAATTCACGTTTTATCGCAGTTTATTACCTCAGAAGAATCTATGCAACAATGACAAAGTTAATTACTCTTAAAATTCACTATAAGTAAGAGAAAAAAAACATACTGCAAATATAATAACATAGTTCTAAAAGCTTTGATTGATAAACCAACAATTAATTATGAATTAATACAAATAATTAAGATAACATTATATTTATCTTCTAATAAACAACAATTAATTATCTTAAGACAAATGCTAAACTCCAAATTTATTAAAGGTTGACTACACAAAGCGGAATTCAGAGTACAACTACTTATGAAATTAGAGGACATTAAAGCTAATTATTTATTGCATTAGGTGGAAAATAATTAACATATAATAATAAAATTATATATACATATAAACCAATATTTTTTATTAAAAGAAGAAAACAAAGAGAGAAAGGAAGGAAGAGCTCACAAGGCTCAACAAGTTGAAGGAGAAGAAGTGGGTTTGCCCCCTCTAGCTTCAGCTGGGTCAAAGAAGAGGGGCTATGTTAGCAATTAAATAACGAAGAGAGAAGGTTCTCTTAGTTGTGTTTGGCTCGCTAAAAATACTATTGTTCGAGTTTGAGTTCAAGCCGTTTATATACCGAGTCAAACAAGAGCTGTTCACGTATAACGAGATATTTTGATAACCATAATCAGACAACTATAACATGTTAAGGGTCAGGACAAGATTTAAATCTTGTTATTTATGTTAACATTTTCATTTAAAAAGAATTTAATATATATTTTTACTATTTTTAATTAATATTTTAATTGATTATAAATCTTTATCATATTCCAATCAATTAAATTATCTAAAAATAATACTCATCAATATATATATATATATATATATAAACGAGTCAGACACAAATAAACAAAATTTTATTTGTAATCATCTCGTTTATACATCGACTGAAAAAAAATTCATTCGTGTTCTGCTCATTTGTTTAGTTAATGAATCAAAAATGAGTATTTAATGAGTCAAACACGAGCTGCTTGCAAACAACAAACTAATTTGCCAATCCTAGAAACAAGGCACAATAGTGGGAGGCAAGCAAAATGAAGTGAAGGTTTTGGATTTTACACACCTCACCTTGAATTTTTGAGAATTTTTATGAGAAAAATGATTAGAAACAGAACAAAAGTGGTCAGTATGATTTACTCTAATAAAGGCCCATCAATGAATAGCAATTTATTGACTTAAACGTTCATTCTCTACTTTTGGTAATGTAATATAGTAAGAAAGTGTATGGGCATCAAATTGCTTCACCATATACTATAAGGCACAAAATATACAGATCTCCATTTTAAATATAGGATGCTCACACAAGCCTCCTAAGCTACAAAGTATGTCAAAAACTAACAAAATATACATATATTTTTTAAAAAGCACCTGCCTGTAAATAAAAGCTTCAGCTATACAGACAGAGAAGTCAGAAAGAAGACCAACAAACAACCCAACGTGATTAAATTGGAACAGCTTTCTTCAATAAAATCGAACCATCATCATCACTGTGCAACAATGAGCTCATCAAGATCAACTTCCGTGCTTGGCAGAAGCAACGGCAAATCATCATCGGCAAAAAATTTGTATCTCTCACCAATGGCTTGAAGAAGTTGGTAGACTTCGAACATCGTCGGCCTCTGCTTCGGCCCCGGAAGAACACACGAGCACGCGACTTTTAGAACCTGAAGCAGCTCGCCGTCGTATCCCTTCCCAATCAAAGTTTTATCGACGGCATCTTGAAGAATCGAACCATTCGAAAGATAGCTTATCCATTCGACCAAGCTGCCTTTGAAACTGTCGGGGGCGATTGATACGTTTGTAGGTTTTTCGCCGGTGACCAACTCAAGCAAGACGACTCCAAAGCTATAAACATCGCCTTTCGCTGTAGCCGTCAGAGTGCGCCCATATTCGGGAGCAACATAGCCAAGGTCACCAAACTCGCCATTTACAAATGTGCTTAAATGGGTGTCCACTGGATTCATAAGCCTCGCGAGTCCGAAATCCGATATCTTTGGTGTGTAATCGTGATCCAAAAGAATGGATTTTGAGCTGATGTTTCGATGCAGAATCCTTGGATTGCAACTATGGTGAAGCCAAGCGAGGCCTTTTGCCGCCCCAATGCTGATTTTGAGCCTGAGTGGCCAATCCAAAGAATCGTTTCGATGCAACGAGTCGTAGAGACTACCGTTCGGCATGTGTTTGTACACGAGAAGCTTCTCTTTCTTCGCTACGCAAAACCCTAAAAGTGGAAGCAAGTTGGGATGCCGCACACTACCCAAAGTATTCATCTCGGCTATGAATTGACTCTCGGAATGCTGCGACGACTCTTGCAGCCGCTTGACAGCAAAAGACGAACCATCGGGGAGAGTCGCTCGGTACATAGTGCCAGTCCTCCCACTACCAATGATGTTCTCCTTACTGAAGTCATTAGTTGAGGCCATGAGAACGCTGAGCTTCATTTTTGAAATGGATTTCTCAAACATGGAAACCTGAATAATCATAAGCTTAGGTAGTTAATAAAATTGGGAAATTTACATTCGTAGCACGCAATACTTATGTATGTAAATATCTCACAGCTAAACTTTTTATATTTACATAGATATATATATATATATATATGTGTGTGTGTGTATCTCTGGTGCTATAAACCTGTGCACAAAATAAAGCATTTCACTTTTTAAAAGTGGTAACAATGCCTTTTTTTTTGTGAAATTAAAGATTTGAGTGCCATGTGTATACGTATGAAAGTATAAATATGAGATATGTAAACACATAAGAATTGTGTGCTATGTATGCAAAAGCTACATAACACCCAAATCCTATTTAGTTATATATCCAACACCTAAGCTATACATTTTACACTTATATCACTCAACCATACCACCATTTTAGCTTTTAAAAAGTAAAGTTCGTCTTTTTCATGCACAAGTAAGGTGACACGCATGTAAAAATTAAAGTTTAGGTGTTAGATATATAAATACATAGGGATTGAGCGGTATATATATATATATGTAAATCTTCCAAAATACTAAGTATAGATTACCTTGGTTCCTTTGACTCCCTTCAAATGCTTCGCCCACATATTATCTGCTACTTCAGTTTTCTTTTTCTTGACGGTAACTTTGCGCAAACAAAAGTATATAATGACGCCGACGATCAGGAGCGTTACGACGATGCCCACGACAGCAGAACCGATTATGATGCCGGTTCGGTCCTTCTTCGCCGGTGCGTGACATGCCGCCAAAGGTCTCCCGCAAAGCCCCGGATTGCCCTCAAAGCTTGAAGCTGACATGGAGAAGTTGAAAGCGGGGATAGGTCCAGATAACTGATTGTCAGCAACATTGAGGCTCGTCAGACGACCGAGGATCGTCATTTTCCACGGTATAGTGCCGCTCAGACGATTGTGTTGAAGGTTAATGACATTCAGGAAGCTACAGTTCGATATATCGCTTGGGATTTCGCCGGTGAAATTGTTGAATGAAAGATCGAGGTTAGTAACGAAGGGTATCTTATTGGAGATGTCGGCGGGTAGGCGTCCGGCTAGGTTGTTGTTGGACAGATCAAGTCCAGTTAAGGTTGTACAGTTCTCGAGACCGGATGGAAATTCTCCTTCGAGGCCCATGCTCGAAAGCAGTAAGTTAAGGATTTTGTTTTCGCCGGGATTCCAGCATTCGACGCCACTAAAATGACAGATGGATCCTTCGCTCGTGTTGCCAAAACTCCACGAATCTATCGAGCTGCCATTAGGGGCTTTAAGAGATTGTTTTATGGATTTCAGGCATTCGATGTCCAGCTGAGACGAATAAATTCTGCTACTTAACAGCATCAACAAGAAGATTTGTAATAGATTACCATAGCTTCTACTTTCCATGGCAAAAACTCTTTCAACATTAAATTGTAAGCAACCTGCTATTCTCCAATACGATTGTCCCTAGTGGCATACAATACAATAAAGTTATTGATTTGATAATGAAAAAAATAAAGGAAGAGGGTAGGCCTAGGGCATAATTTTTTTGCCTCCATTATAGCTTAGAAGTAAAACTTTTGAATCACAAAATAGACCATATAACATGGTTTTAAAAAATGGACCAAACCAGCTTAGTTCGACTGGTTTAACCATGAATTGGTCCTCTAGTTGGTTTGGTACAGGTCCAAAACCGCTTTTGATTTTGATCAATGGCAAGAAATACAACAGCAACAACAATAACAACAACAAGCCTTTATCCCACCACATGGGAAAAAAAAATTATAAATCAATATTTTCATTTAGAATTATATTTAAAATATTTAAGAGTAATGCAATATTTAATTGTTCAACCGTTGAATTTTGAATCTCTGTTTCTTCAGGTTCATGTCCAATCCAGTTTTCACAAACTTACTCCATACAATGTAGAGGTAAATTTGCATACAACAAGCCATCTTAACCCTATTTTTTCAATAGCCTTAGTAATGAATATGATTTATACAGAAAATGCGAAAAAAAGTGGAGATTAGAAGCTAAATCTCATTCATAAAATCTTAACAAGATGACTTGGAAATACGTAATTAGCATGAAAAGTCCAGCTACAAAAATGAAAGTTCAAGCAATCCTAAGTGAGAAAGTCAGTATGACCTTTTTTGCATTATATTTGAAGTATCAAAAGCATGTTTCTCAACAACAACAACAACAACAACAACAAGCCTTTATCACATTAAGTGGGGTCGGCTAGATGAATCCTGTTTCTCCATTGTGTCCTATTGGGTGCCATATTTTCATTTAATTCTAATAAATTAAGATTATGTTTTATGCAATATGCCCAACTATTTTTAGGTCTATATCTAACTTTCTTAATATAAATCGAATCTTAAACATCTACTCTCCTAACCGGATCATCAGATGATCAATGTTTAATGTAAACAAACCATCTAGGACGACTCTCTCTAAACTTTTCTGCCACTGGAGCTAACACCAACCCTTTCACAAATACATTCATTTCGCATTCTGTCTCTAAGTGTCAAGTCAATCATCCACCTAAGCTTTCTCATCTAGGCAACACTTAACTTACTTGACATAAGTCGAATAAAAAACAAGCTTCTCACTGTAACAAAAAAGAAAATTCAAAAGTAAATAAAAATCACTGCGATGGACAATTCTTTTCTTGTTGCAATATTGTCTAATCTTTTGGCACATACAAACCCTAACACTTTTAACTGTCAATGACTCCTAAATCAAGGCATTTACACACATACAACTCAATTACTATGTATTTACATATATAACACCTAAACTTTGCTTCCTTTTTTACATGTGTACCCCCCAAATCTTTCATATCACATAAAAAAACCACTAATTTTACTTTTAAAAAGTGAAATACACCTTTTCATGCATAGAAGGTGACATATGTGTAAAATCTGAACTATAGGTGTTAGACATGTAAATACATAAAAATTGAGTGCTATGTGTGCATGTAAATCTTGCTAAATCTTTATAATAAGCTCAATATTCATCATAAAAAAATGACAGAATAAGAACCAACACACAACTTTCCACACCTTCCACTGATTAAGTTAAGCTCAACAAATGAATTTTCAATTAATTCAATCTTCACCATAAGCAGCCTGTTGGAGAGAATGAAAAGCTTGATATTCATGGAAAGTAAATATCAACCCCCTAAACAAAAAAAAAAAAACTCATTGAAAAAAGCAATTAAAAAAATGAAATAAAAAAGGATTAAGGCCAACCAACTTATCCAACCAAAACAAACAGGAGTGGAATAAAAAATATGAATATTTTATCAGAAAATCCCGTTAGAGCTAAATTAGGGCAAACTAGCTAAAAACTTCAGTTCAAGGTAAAATCTTCAAATAAAAATAAATAAATTAAAAGCACTACCTTTTCTGCGGCAAATACCAGAAACCCTAAAAAGTCCGAAATTTACTCCAACCCATCAATCCAAGCCCAATCCAAACCAACAATGAATGAAACCAACAAAAGCAAATCTAAAATTCATCATTCACCAGCAGATAGCACAGCGAATCACGCGAGCTGGAGCAACCATAAAAAACACCAAACAGGTCCCCCCCCGCCATTCTCCCTCCCTTAAGAGGAGAAGAAAAAGGCGGGTCGAAGATGGAGTTGCGAACGCGGAATTCAACAGAGACCCTCGAGACCATGATGGGGAAGTCATCTCTTCCTCGAATTTCCACCGGGCGCAATAAATTATGCGGAAAAAGCCAAGCAAAGTTCAAAGGCGTTCACAACGAACAGTAATCCAGATATTTATTTACGGTAATGCCATCACGTTAAAAAAGTTAATTAACTTAATTAAACCATTAGTGGTTAGATTAATCTTTGTTTTGATGCTGTAATTATGTTTACTGCGACAAACAAAGTGAGTCTGAGGTCTTGTGAAGTGGACGGTAGATGGTGCTTTGACCACTGAAATATTTAAGGAACTTTTACATACATAACCCCACTTCCTTTTGTATTTACACATATATCCTTTAAAGTTTAATCTTTATGTATGTGCATCACCTTTTTCTATGCATAAAAAGACGGAGTTTCATTTTTAAAGGTTAAAATAATGATATTTTTATGTAATATGAAAGATTTGGGTGATAAGTATGAAAGTAAATTTTAGCTGGGAGATACGTAAATACATAAGAATTGGGCGGTATGTATGTAAATGCCCCAAAATTTAATCATTAATTCACATAAAAATGATTTATTTTTAGGTAGCATAAGAAAACCCTCTCTCTTTCAAAGTAAATAAACAAAAACTCTATTACCATGATCAATTATTAGGAAGTTTACTTAGGAACATCATAACTTTATATTTCAAAGAGAAAAACTTAACTACATACCACTCAATTCATATATGACCCACTTTATTTATGCATGAAAAGATGTATTTCACATTTTAAAAGTTAAAATGATGGTGTTTTTGACGTGATGTGAAAATTTTGTGTAAGATTAATGTAAAAAAGTAAACTTCAGGTGTTAGTTACGTAGATACATAGGACTTGAGCGATATGAAGTTACGTAGATACATAGGACTTGAGTGATATGTATGTAAATGCCCTTTCACGTATTATAATTTATTCCACCAAAATTTTATAAAAATGATCTTATAAATTTTATTATTATGTTAAAGCCCTTGCATTTGATGTTGATGTTATAGAAGACTTTTTGATGTTGTTGTTAGCTGATGTTGTTGTTTGGAGCATAGTTGTCTATTTGGATACGGTGTTTCTCTTTTGTTTTTAGTTTTGAGTTTGTTTTTGTTTTATTTCTATAATAAAGTTGGACATGACTTTTATTTTTTAAGAAAATTTGATCACAAGACTTCAAAAGGTATTTAAGAAAGTTTTCTCCAAAAGAGAAGAGAAATAGAAGAAGGATTTTAGCTCTTTGTACTTTGGAGATATTAATTCTATTTATTTTAAGAGAAACAACAATTATCTATTGAGAAATCATAGATTTAATTTAGATAATAAAATAACTATTAGGAAAGTCATAAGTGTATTATTAGTATAGGAAATTAAGTACACTTTTGGATTTGAGCTCCTTTGAATATTCTTTTGGTCTAATATCAAACTTAAATGTTATGGTGTTTGGTTGCCAAAATTAAATACATAAGTATCAACTTAGGCACTTTTGGCTTTGCCTCATTTGAAGGGTAGTTAGCTTAATTGCCTTTTAATATCAATCTACATTTTAGTGCAACTCCTATAGTTTTTTCTCTTCTATTTTTTTAAGTCATTTGACTTCACTGAGGAGTGCATCTTGAGAGTATAAGGAAGGTGAATTGATGTATATGAAAAGAAAGTTAATAGGTGAACTAATTTTGGTACTTGCAAGAGATACCATTGTTTCAAAAAGTGGAATGGTCTGCCAATTTGATTAGTTCAATCATAAATCTGTCTATTAATGAGTTTGGTCTAGATTCAAATCGCTTCTATTCAAAATCGATGAGAATTAGATTTGAGCTGAGGTTGAATTGGTGAATCAGATAGATATTTGAAGGATTGAATTATTGTTCTATTATTAGCTTTTAGCCTTGATTTTAATTCTTTGGTGATAAAAAAAAAGATATAGAATAAAAATTAAAATAATTATTAGCATATCATGTTCAAAATTTTAATTTAGAATTATATTCAAAATATTCAAGAGTGAATTGTCTTATACTAGAATAATATATTTTTATTTGATGATGATATTATTATGGAACTATTATTATATTATTTAAATATGCTTAAGTTATTTAAAATTTATAATATCATATGATATAACCCTGGTTAAATGATTGAATCTCGAACCTCTCTTTCTTTTGGTTTAGCATTCGGTTAAACTTTCACAAATTTGTTGTACACAAAAAGATTTTAAATCTAGGACTTACATTGCACGACATAGAATCAACGCAAATAACTTAGAAAGATAGGAGGATTTACGTCGTACTAAACGAATAACCTCAAAATTCTAAAAAAAGTCAAGGCTGATATCGTACAACATATAATCATGTGAAAACCTAAATATAGCATGAGGATATATGTCGTGCTAGACAAATGACCTCGAAGTTCTAAATGTTTATGTTGCTTAAGACTATGAAAAGTTTAGCTAAGAATCATCGTTCGCTTTATTGTTTTGATCGCCGCTCAATCACGTCGTATCCTCGTTCTGTGAAAAAGAGAAGGAAAGAGAAATCATGTCGCGGGCGGCCTATCCTAGGATCTTTGTTTTTAGTATTTTGATTTTAGAGAGTACATTCAGGTTGATAATTATTTCTATCCTTAATACTATTATTTAACCAATGAGTCATAATTACGTGTTCTTAAGAATGTTTAACATTTTGCCAAATTACTGTGTTGGTAGTGTGTTAGTAGGCTTCAATCTAAACATATGCCCTATGTCCTCTGTTTTATGGTCTCGTTTTAAGACATCATAAATACATAAAAAAGAGGAATGCCATTGCACACCTAAATAGAGCACGTATAATTAAATATAATAAATGAGAAAGCAACACGGCGTACTTGTCGCCTATGATGTTATTTCAAAATAATTGAAGCCATGTGTTAAAAATGCAAACATATGGGAATTGAGCAACGTGGAAACGATGTGACATATATTAAACATAAGCATGCATGTTTATATGGAATTGATCAATTGACATATGAAAATTAAAACTGGATATAAGTATTTATGAGTTATGGACGAGCTCAGCTTCAGGCCTTTGGCCGTAATAATATTTTTCTGAAGGATTTCAATAAGCAACCAGAGCATCGATGTACATAAAACCTATCCCTGGATAGACGCTACTATTAAGCCAATCAAAGGAGGACAACTCTTAGCCTAATCAAAATGACCGATGGGTGGGCATACAAAAGGTAACACCCAAAATTCTCAATTTGTCATGCATACAAGTAAATAAACTTATTTCAGAGCCATCAACAACCACAAATAACACCACAATAAAATTTACAATCAGACAATCCACAAATCATTCAAATTGTTGGACTTGAGCCACCAACAGCCTAGAAATGCAAAGGCAACCCTAAACCAGATGTTGGCAAATAACAATACCAGTCATGAACCTCACAAAGTCATTGAGTTAGGAGATATATTACTTTAGGAGATATATTACTACTCTATTAGCACAAATTTAGTAACAGATGCTTGATATCTTCATTCATATCACTAACAATTCCAACTTATAAACCAGCTCAACGATTCATATAAAACCGCCAACTTTTGAATGCTTCCAATCACCAAAAGAATACCAAAATGACAATTAAGTATTTTATTAAAGGATGACATCCATCAAACAAAATGCCGCCCAACAAACAAAATGCCGATTGACCATTGCCTAAGCGACAACCAAAGTCCAACAGAACGATCTCGGCAGTGTTCCCCTCAATACGCACCGAAGCGTCTCAAATTAACGTTAAAAATGAATCAAATTTGGTTTTATTGAATTTTTTTTGTGATTGATCCTATTAAAAAAGTTGATTTTAGCTTTGATTTAATGGCGAAGTGTAAGTGAATTGTACTGTAAATGAGTGTGGTGTAAGTGTATGCGCTGTGATAAAGATTGAAAACCCCCAATTCTAAAAGGTCTTTCTAAGACACTCCCAATTCTCATAGAAACTCAACTTGAGTTTCAATATATTGATTCCAATCGACTCAACTAAATGTTGAGGATATGAAACCACACATATGAGGCTACATAGATTCAAGAGATGATTTGAATTTCTGAGTGATGTGGGTCCCAATATTAGTCATCTTGGAAAGTCAACAGGGAAATCCTATCGCTAGAGCATAGGCTCTAAAGAAGGAAACAAACTCACAAAAAAATGATGTCAACAGTTATGAATATTATATATATATATATATATAACACTTTGATGTCATAATTTATGCATGCCAAATTATATATCTATATATATAGACACACACACACACACACACAAAAGAAGTAGTATGATCTTGGCTAAAGAGGTTTTTTTTGTTGATATGACGAAGATAATTATGATAAACATCGAATTAAAGATGATTATGATTCAAGCAAAATTATTATTCACACTTGGATTTGACAATAATTACACAATAAGTGTGGTTACAATATAGGCCTTAAAAGAGATGATTACAGTGCAACTGAGATTGCATAATGTATATTTGGATATAAAGACAACTAAAATATAAGTGAAGTTATAATTTAGTTCTTGAATGAGATGTTATTTTCACAAACAAGATTGCCATAAAGTTTTAGACATAATAATGATACAACATAAGTGGGGTGATGCAAAATGCCTTAAAAATGATGGTTTGATGTTGCGATGCAAGCTTTGATGCAACCATGCTTATATCATAAGGAATTATGTAGTCAGCCTTAAGGAATAAAATTATAGGACTAGTGTGGCTGTAATGTAGGTTTAGATAAAATGAAAAATATAAGCAAATTTATGATTTAGGTTTTTAAAAAGATAATTATAAAGGGATGTTGTGGTGCATATTTGAAAATGGCCATGATCATGGTGCAAACTGTTTTATATGTATGTTTTAAAAGAGACAATTGCCATATAAGCAATGTCGCAAAGTAATTCTGGAGGTTGCAAAGTAAATCATCGGTGTGATGGCTTTTGTAAAAGTGAGGTTGTGGCATAGATCTAGTTGCGATGATTGTCATGCTTCCAATGAAATTGAGGAGGAGACTACCATGATAAAAGTATGAGTGTTGCACTTGTTTAGATATATTGATAATTATAATGCAAGTAGAACTATGACGTATAAAATAGATGAAAATAACATAAATATGTTGTGACAGCTCTTGATATGATGATAACTAAATCACAAGCAAAATTGTGATATAGATTTCTAGGAAGACGATTGCAATACCGGCTGGATTACATCACATGCTTAGATACAACAATGATTATGTTGGAAACAACATTGCAACATACATCTTAATTTAGTAATGGTTGATACAAGCAAAATTATGATGTTTGTTGAGATACAATAACATCTGTGACGCCATTGATGCTACGACAACTATTGTGTGAATGAGGTTATACCATGATCATGGATACATTAATAACAATTTGAATTATTTGTAGGATTTATTCAAAGAGCCTCAAATAAATGAATTCTTTTTAGGGGAACCGACATACACACCACACAATCTTCTGTACTTACATAGATACAACACCCAAATTTTGATATTTACACTTATATTTTTGCAGAGAAATGTTTTTATCATCGATATATTGCCCCCAACATCTTTCAAGATTCCTCATCTAGAAGAAATATTACGTGCAGATAGGTAGGTTCAGATAGGCTCGAATTTAGTGTCATACCACCACAATAGCACCGACCCGCACGTATGTTATCCTCACGTAATATTTTCTCGTTCATCTGCCAGCAAGCAAGAGTATCGAGTTTAAGTATTATACACGATAAATGCTCCAAAAGACACAATAAAAGAAAGTTGTGATGTGGCTAATAACTAATCCATTAATAAGATGTATTGGACCACCACTTACATTATCATTTCCTCCCTTTGACTTAACCATAATTTTTGCTTTATCTTGCCTGATTTGGAAGTCATTATGTCATATTTAAAATACTCCCATCAGGCGGGGGAGAGAAGAAGAACAAAATATCTGGGAAGATTTACATGCATATCACTCAATTCCCATGTATTTACATATATGCCCACAAAACTTTATTTTTTTGCATATATAGCATCTTATCTAGGCATGAGAAGGTGTAGGTGTTCGATATGTAAATATATAAGAATTGGGTGGTATGTATGTAAATTTCTCAAATATTTAAGGAAATTTAATGCTCCGGATATCAGATCAAATCTTTTATTAGAATCAATTTTATAATTGTTAACTTTACTAAAAGTTTTAAATAATTTCTCTTATAATATATTCAGTTTAAAGCAAATTCAGTAATTTTATGGGCTTTGATGAATAATAACCCAAAAATTTTTATTTTAATAGAGAAGAAAATTAGTTTTTTTTTTCATTGATTCAAAAAAAAATGAAAATTATTCCTCTAATTCTTGAAAAAATATTACATCAGAACTGCGCTCGTAGAGTTACGTGCGGAGTCCAATGAAATCACGCCGCATGTGAAATCATGCCACAATTAGAGAAAAAAAAAAATTGGTCCGGTAACACCGGGGAATATTCCCCCGTGTTATTCATGTGTTATTATATGTTAGTGATGTGTTATTGTGTTATTATAACACCAGGAGTATTCCCAGAACAGTATAACACATGAATAACATACAGTAACACCTAAATAACACGGGAGAAATATTTTATTGTGCTACCGAGCTGATTTTTTTCCTCACGTGGCGTGATTTAATTGGACTCCGCACGTAACTCTACGTGCTGAGTCCTGATGTAATATTTTTTTCCAAATTCTTGGTTGGAAGAAAAAAAAAATTATAATTAGCATTACATATATACCTCATTAGAATAATAATAATAAAATTTTTTTTTTCAAATAAAACGTTTCAACATTATTTAGAAGTTATTGGGACATTTACATACAAGCCCCACAATTGTTACATATTTACATAATTTACATGAATGCCACTCAAATTTTAATTATTACACTGACTATTCAAAAGTGAAATATACATTTTTCATGCATGAGTTTACAACACGAGGTTAAAAGTATAAATATGAAATTGGAGATGATAATATGTAATACATAGTAATTATGTGGTATGCATGTAAATTTCCCAGATTTATTTATATAAGTTATTTTCCCTCCATGTTTTTTTACCCATTTTGAGTGAGCAAAAATACTTTACATTAAAAAATAAATAATAATAATTAAAATAATAATAAAAGTCTTCTCTTTTGGGGGCATTTACATGCATACCACACAATTCCTATCTATTTACATATCAAACTCCTAAACTTTAATTTCTACATTTATATCACACAATGAACCAAATCTTTCTTTAATACAAAAAAAAAAATACTACCATTTCAACTTTAAAAGGTGAAATACACATTTTTCATGCATAGATAAGGTGACATATACGTACAAAAAATATAGTTGTTAGATATGTAAAATATGAAAATTACCAGAATAGGTGAGCCCAAAAGCTAATATATATGTTTCGAATCCGCGATTTCATGATGAGCAACTATACCCTCAACCATTATATTACAAATAAGTGCGTCATTCTAACTGTTATCTCTCTGAACTCTAACTCTCAATCAAAGCACTATCATAAAACAAGACTTGAGGTCTGTTTGGGGAGCTGCTGCTTATTAAAAAATAGTTGTGAAGTTGCTGAAGAATAATCTGATGTTGCAAAAAATTGCGGTGGCTATTAGAAATTTTTTTTTTTTTTTGTGAAAAAGACAGACCAGAACGGGAAAGCTGCAACCGCATCCAGTCAGAACCGGTGAGAAAATGTTGATTTCAGCCGCAATTTTTTTAGAAAGCTATCAAAATACAGTTTATACAAACGGGCAAAACTGTGATGCAGTGCCGCACCGTCATCGTACAGCTGCCCCAAACAGACCCTTCAAATGTCAATCCATCATTTATTTAACCATTTGCCCAAAACTCCAACCTTCACATCATACAAAAACACATTTATTCTCAGTAATCCAACGCATATAAACCCCATATCACTCACCCACATTCATCACCATAACCCAAACAAAACAGCCACAAAAACTGAAATTTCGTCCATACCTGTTCGACGTAAATTATTCATGAGCAACCACGACAACCTGCTTGCCGACATTGCGACCGGAGAAGAGTCCGATGAGTGCTGAAGGGGCCTTCTCAATTCCCTCAGCAATGTCCTCAACATATGTCAGTTTTCCTTCCCTTATGTACTGAATCACAAGCTCCAGAAACTGAGGATATAGGTGCTTGTGATCCGGTTCGATGAATCCTTGCATCCGAATTCGCTTCGACACGATGCAGAAGAGGTTATGGATGCTGTCTTTCTCGGTGAGATTGTACTGCGAAATCATCCCGCAGACGGCGATCCGGCCATGGTTTCTCATGTTGAGGAGAACGGCGTCGAGCATTGGGCCCCCAACATTTTCAAAATAGATGTCGATTCCATCAGGGAAGTATCTGTTGGCATGAATCACATAGAAGATTTGTAGTATGGATTGATGAGTGTGGACAAAAATGTAAAATTGTGCATTGGAAGGTTATGGAGTGTAATTTTTGTTCTATGAGGAATACGGGCTTTCAGATATCTTTTATATTTGCGTATCTAAACCTAAATTTCAAATTTTCCATACATGTCACCTTCCGTATGCATGAAAAAGAATATTTCACATTTTAAAAGTTAAAATAATGATATTAAAAAATTCTTTTTGGGACATTTACATACATTCTACACCCTATTACTATGCATTTACATATCTAACACCTAAATTTTGCTTTTACATTTATACCACTAAGTCTTTTACATCACATGAAAAATACCACCGTTTCAACTATTAAAAAGTAAAATACATCTTTTCATGCATGGGTAAGATAGTACTTTTTTTCCTTCAAAAGATGGGTGGTAACATGTTCCTGTCCGCCCCACATGTGTTAATTTGAGTTAAATGAAATCAAACCCGGGACTGAGGGCACTTATGCCGAGGCTGCCAACCAACAGGCCACCCGTTGCGCACATTGCATGGGTAAGGTAGTATGTATGTAAATACTGAAGTTTGGTGTAAGATATGTAAATACATAGGAATTGAGTGGTATGTGTGGAACTCTCCCATTATTTTATAAGTTATTTCAATTGAAAATTTCTTATGTTTAGATGGCCCTAGGTTCCTTATACATGACACTTCGGAGTTTTAAACATATACATTAAAAGATGTATTTCACTTTCATAAAATGATAATAGTGATATTTTGATGTGATATTAATGATCTGTGTGAATATGAAAGTTTATGGGTGAGATATGTAAATGCATAAGAATTGTGGGTTATGTATGTAAATGTCCCAAAAATCTATATAAAATGTCTAACATGATCGCTATTAGAAAAATTCAAGAGTTAGTGAGAGACTTTTGAGTATGGATAACTGAATGGAATCATGGATAGTATTGACCTTTTCAGAGCAGCATTGAGATCATGCTCCTCTTTGTAGTTAAATGCTTCATCAAATCCAAACTTGTTCTTAAGAAGATCAACCTGATAAATCGGCCAACAAAATAAATTAGGGCAATTCAATTAGTAGGCTCAAGTCTCGAGGCAATTAAAAAGAAAAATATTAGAAATTTGGATTAGAACATCATGATCAAATTGTTTGCTTTAAAAGGTGTGCAATGTAGAAAATCATCTAAATTACTTTGGGGCATTTACATAAATGCCACCCAATTCCTATGTCTTTACATATCTAACACTTAAGCATTGTGTTTTTACATTTAAAGCACCCAAATCATTCATATCACATCAGAAATACCACTATTTAAAATTTTTACATTCAGATACACTTCTCATGCATTGGTAAGATAACATATAAGTAAAAAAAATGAAGTTTAGGTGTTAGATATGTAAATACATAAGAGTTGAGGGGTATGTATGCAAAGCTTCCACCTGAAACCTTTTGGGATTTTATAATGAATCTACCTTCTCCTGAGAGCCTGCACTTCCAACCACGTAGCAACCCGTTAACTTAGCAAACTGGCCAACAAGTTGGCCGACAGCTCCTGAGGCAGCAGAAACGTAAACTGTTTCTCCCTTTTTAGGGGTGCTTAATTCATTGAATCCAACGTAAGCTGTAAGCCCTGGCATTCCTAAATAAATTCCAAAAAGAAATAAATATTTAAACAAAATATATGCAAACTGGAGCAAATAAAAAACAATCGCAGTCAAACTGTAAATTACTCGAAAATACCACTTGAAGTCAAGCATTTCAATCTGCATCTGATTTCAAATTTTGCTTCACATTACCTCAGGTTCTTGTGGGCTCCGAATATTTCGACGCCACAGACTCTCTTTTTGTTGAGAGCACTTTGTGTTTGTTATTTGGGATCCAATTTTCAGAAGACATATTAGATTGTAGATGTGACATTTTTATGAGGACTTTTTTATCTAGAGTTTGAGGTTTCCTATAGGCGCAAGCTCCTATGGTTAGTGCCCCCCTCTAGATAAAGGGGAAGCACTTTCAATTAGGGTTAGTGATTAAAACTGAGTATTCAACATATAGTAACAACAAACTTAAGATTTAGACTATAAAATTTATCGCCTTGTGCTTAAACTTAATGGTAGGGAAAATGATGGCATACCCGATCAAGATCCCATGGTTCTGTCGTTTGGTCAGTGTGGTCTATATTCTACTCAGTCAGAGGAAGTAGTTGACCCAATTTGACAAAATAATGTTAGTTAGCAACCACGGGTTATATCGTCCAAAAGATCCTTGTAAATATGGGAAATAAGTTTGCCTAAATAAACAAATCCAAGTCAACATTAACTGATAGAAGACTGTGTCAATCAAATGTACCATTATAGTTCGCAACACAAAGGGTAGAAAGTCATTTGAGAACATACAGGCTACGGACATGACCGTAATATAATGATGTCATTTAGCGTCAACCACCCAGTCAGAGAGTTATGATCACAATCACTACTTTTTGTGAAGCATTTGGGGCAAACCACGTAGACAGCGGACACGAGCCACCTTTTATTGGCATGACATTACTTTGAGTGTAAATATATTGATACACTTGATGTGATATCAGCACTTTGAAAGCTGAGATCAATAAAAAATTTAACATCCTCAACAAACTATTGTGAAAGGTGGATGAGATTTGTTTCAAGCCTTTCAAGTGATTAATTTTAACTTGAATATTTAGTTTATTATTTTAAAATCTAGATTTGGAATTAAATTTAAAGTTCTTTTCTAGTTAAAATCTTCAGTCAACACAACAATCATTGGGAATTGTACATTTGAAAACATTTATCTTTGAAATTTTTTTGAAATTTAATACTTGAACATATAATAGTGTCAGTCTAGTAAACTCCAGTTTTTATAAGAAGGATCAAACTAAGGTAATTTGGGGACTTGTAAATTATTATATACGTGATTTGGACATTATTGAAACTTATTAGACTTGTCAACTCTAGTCCTTAAGAGGAGGATTGTGTGACTTACAATATTGCTCTATAGATAAGGCAACCTGATTGACAGCGTGTGTAGCCCGATTATCTTGGATTTAATTTTTGAAACATAATGGCTCTTTAATTTAAAATAATCATAGATTTTTCAAAAAAAAATTGCACGCTTCTCAGAGAAAGTGAGTGAACATTTAACCTAACTCACATTGCATTCTCAGATCATTTAAATTTAATTTGGTAGAAGCACATGTGGGTCTATAATTTTGCAGAATACAATTTATTTATTGTATCTATACCATGTATTTGCATGAGTCTTGACACACATATATTATGTAATTATTTAGAGTTTTATGCTCTTCAAAATATAAAACAATACTTGACATATTTGGAAGATGCAATTGCACTCATTGTAAAGTACATGCATGCTTTCAAGGCATTGTATCAAGAAATCATTTTAAAAGGCACATGTAAGACCTGAGACTATGTAAATTTGTTTTACTTGAATTAATACATTGATGAATGCAGAATTTCAATTTCAAGCCTTTTAATATCGTCTTATGTTCGCTTGCAAGCATCTTCTAAATTTAGTAGTGAAAAGGCATAATAAGTCTTTGTTTTTAACACTTAAAAGATATGACCGTTATTTCGTAAGCTTAGCCCAAAATATCTCAAGTCATTTTGCAAGCACAAATATTCCATATTTGGGTCAATTTTAACAAATCTGAATGATTTAAGCCTATTTCAAAGAAAACAAATGATTTAAGCCTAAGAGCTTCAACTTGAATTATTTTCCAAATTTTAAAAGACCCATATTTGAATAAATTTTCAAGCCTAAGAGCCTAAGTTTAAAATATTTTTTAAACCCAATAACATAAATTTAAAACATTTTTCAAACCTAAGAGCCTGAATTTGAAAGATTTTTACAACCTAGGAGCCTACATTCTAATTATTTTCCACATTTGCATAGCCCAATTTCAAATATCTTTACAAGTTTATAAATTTCAAAGATTTTGAGCCATTTTAACAAGTTTAATTAATACAAAATTTTTAGTCTTTGCGTGTCCAATTCACCTGGAATTCGGCAACTTCCCAACGTCTACCTCGCTTGAGGGGCATTGAGGAGAATGCCAGTATGCCTAACTATCTATAAAATGCTTTGGTCAGTGTCGTGAGATACTTCTGCTAGGAAGCAAAGAATGTATTTAACCCAAGGTTTGTTTATAATACAAAATAGGTCATCAATGTCACGGTAAAAAGTCAAATAACAAACAAGTTTTTCCCCAAATAGGTACTTAATTTTCCATGAATAGTACTAAATTCCCCGGACAGGCATTCAGATTTCCTAGGACGCGTAATTAATTTTTCTGTATTTTATAAAATTTTCCCAAACGAGTCGATAATTTTCCATGAACGGTACTTAATTCTTCGACAGACAATCACATTTTCTTGAATAGATAAAAATTTCCCCCACGCCCGTTTTAATACCTTTTCGAGCGAAACAATCGGTGTCCAGGAACACAAAATGACTGAATGGACGATCGACAACGGGACAACAAAAATACAACTCTTTCCTTTTATAGTCTCTGGCAATTTCTTTCAAATATATATATAAGAAGACGACATCAGAGGAAATTCGTGACAGCAAAGAGGAAGAAAGCTCAGAGCGCTTTGGGTTTGGTCTGTGCGGAAGGAGAAAGGTAGAATTTTGGAGGTCTTTGTATGTTGCGATCCCCTCGTGCGCTGCGAAGTAGAGGAAGGAGAAGCAGGGTGAGCGAGACAAGTGCTTGGGACAGTGGAGACGGAGAGAATGAGAAGGATTTCACTCAACTTGGGGCGGTTATAGCTAGCTGAAGAAGTTGTTCTAAATTTTTTGTGGAAAAGGAAAATTTTTGAAAGCTCCTATGAGTATTATAGACTTTTATTCCTGTCAACAAATGTCAAACAGCAACTTCTTACAACAATTACATTTTTGTACTAGTTATGAACAATTGTCTTTGATAATTAAAAAGAAAAGTAGCACGAAAGTTGTAGTCAATCAGGATTGTGGCAGCTATCTGGAAAACAGAGCTTCGTTCAACTTCATATAGAGCAAGACATGACACTTCTAAGAAAATGGAGACATGCAATCAATATTCAGAATATTTTAAAAGGCAAAAAAAAAAACAATATAAATATCTACTTCGTTAACATAAAGGGGGCATTTACATATATACCACAATTATTTTATATTTACATATATAGCACCTAAACTTTCATATTTACACTCATTTCACTCAAATCTTTGACATCACATACAAAATACCATTATTATAACTTTTTAAAATTGCATACACATTTTTCATGCATAGGTTTATAAAATCAAAGTGTTATAGATGTGAATATCAAACTTTAGGTATTAGATATGTATATATATAATAATTGTGTGATATGTATGTAAAATTCCCTTAACATGATATAGACAAAATCGGAATTATCATAAGGGAGTACCCAGAATTCCCGTATAGTAGGAAAGCGGCACATCAGTGTACTTAATTTTGATCAGCCTTTCAGGCGCTTCTATAAGACTATATTCTTCCCACCCAGTGATCCCCCAAACCAAATCTCCTGCTTGGAGGTTCAGATTTCCAGAATCTACAACTTTACCAACACCATAACCAGTAATAACCTGCAAATAATAAACAATAAATCATTAAAAGCTGACTATAAGTTCCAATTCAACAATGGGGTTTTGACTCACTGAAAACAAGGCATCAAAGAAAAAAATTATAGTAGACTGATCCAAGGGGGTGTTTGGTAGCATCCTATTTACAGAATTTAGTCATGAATTTAACTTAAATCCCACAAAATAACAGAAAAATAGAATTAAATCCAATGCTCCGTAAAATCAAAATTTCTCACATTCTATCGATGTTCGTTTTGTTTACTTTAGGACGTAAATCCGGATTTATTAAATCCAACTACGGGGTTGATTTACAGCACGTTGCTCGCGAGGTCTACAGAGAGTTTTATAAATTCAATTTCACTGGATTTGATAAATACTATTTGACGTATAACCAAGTCTCAGCCAAACATCGCCTAGGTGATTTCATCATTTTAAATAAACATCATCATGAATCCTTCTGCATGTCGATATCAGATTGAGAAGAAGTCTTTAGTCTTCACCATCTTCTATTTTTCCCATTCGCCCTTGTTCCAACCCAGGGTATGCCCACAGACTGGTTTGGATTAACAATCTTCGTACTCTCAAATACAATGCAGAACTTAGCGAACATTATCATTTGTGCTGTCCAACACTTAAATTCATATAACACAACCGATTTAATTTTCATTTTATAAAATTTATCTTCAAGTCTGCACAATTTTCTTGTCTCATAAAATCCCCAATACATTTGTTTATTTTAAAAATCCAACTTTACCAAAATCCTCATCTATACATTGTTCTAACAAAATCTAAAGCTCTTCATTTTAAAGCTATCTACTCCCGTGGTCTCAATTTTCATTTATTTCAATTAATATCTCATTCATTATAAAAAGCAAGCCAAGTGTGAAAAAAGAATACAAAGGCAGCTAACTTTAAATATCAAACATTTGCATAATCACTTCGTGGAACTCAATTGAATCTATTTTAAACACCACCCTTCATTGTAGATGTTCAAACTATTTGAATCTATTTTAAATGCTTTATTTTTAATAAATGCCATATCAACCACTTGTTTAATATTAGATAAATTTATATACGTGCCACACAATTCTTATGTATTTGCATATCTCACACCTAAACTTTCATATTTACATGCTGATATAATTTGATGTCAAAATCGACATGTTTTTTGGCAAACACAAATTTTATTTCTCGAATACCAAATCAAAGCAATATAACACTAATAACTCAAAGTAATACATAAAGATAAGCACATATGGTTTGAGAGGTAGGCGATCTCTCCAAATTCTTACAATTCGATAGGTAAGAAATATCTCCCAAACCTTAAACCTAAGACTTACAACAACAATTTCATGCATAAAGCTAACCCTAAATATAATAAGTCTATTCATACCTAACAATAATAATAATAAAAGACCAAATTTGCCTTAGGTTTGGCATTGGTGTAACACATCATATCACTTTGGTGCTTTGAACCAATGCGTGAAAAGGTATATTTCACTTTTAAAAAGAGCTAATAGTGCTATCTTTGATGTGAAGTTGAAGATTTGAGTGCCATGTGAGTAAATATGAAAGTTTAGGTATTAGATGTGTAAATACATAAGAATTGTGTGCAATGTACTTAAATGCCCCTTAATATAATCATTCCTAGCTTTTTCACACATTCGTCTTAATATTCTGCTTCTCACGACAATTACCTTCCAAAAATTCCCCCAATGCTCATGTCCAAATAATATCATTAGCCTAGTTGTAATTTTATTAACTCGGTGTTTGGTTGTAATTTAGATTTACATTTATGTTAAATAGAATTTATCAAATCCAATAAATTCATATTTATCTTCAATGACAGAGTTCGCAAGCAACGACAAAATAAATCCGTCTTGTAATTGGATTTAGTAAATCCAGATTTATGTCGAGAAAGAGATGAAACCCGAGGAAAAAAAGACAGAACGTGAGAAAATTTGATTTAACGGAGTGTTGGATTTAATGTTTAATTTTTTGGCATTTGGCTGGATTTAAGCTAAATCCATCACTAAATCCTCTTAACATTATGCTACCTGGGTATCATTTTATCATCTAATAAAAACTAGAAACAACAAGAAGAAGAACTAGGAGCCTTGGTGAAAGAGCAAGAAAACTCCAAAGGAGGCTTCTTCCTCCCTCTTACCACCACTAAAAGAGGCCATTAGCGCATAAGATCGGCCTGCAAACTAACCCCCAACTGTGAGACTTTAGATGCAGGCTTCAGTGAAAGCAAATTATTTCAACAATCATCACCAACCAAACCAAGGTAATAATAAAAAATTACTCTAATCTGCTTCTTCCACTTCCACTTCCACTTCCACATCACAAATCCTAAGTCAAACCAACCCAGCAAGGTCGAAGAAAATTATACAGCAACCTTTACAAAAGAAAAAAAAATCGAACCAGAAAACAAATTTTTCATATAGATAAAAGAAAACCAAACATGGAATGGGACTCACAGATCCGGGAGTGAAAGAATCGGTGTAGCTCTTGACGACGGGTTTCGACATTTTTCCCCTCATATATGGGTCGCAAGAAAGGTAGAGATTTTTTAAGAGAACGGCATTGGAACCAGTGGGAACTTTGAGCTCGACATCGGAGGAGAGAAGAAGGAGGTCGTCTTCCTTTGGGTAACCTGTGACGTAGTCTTTGAGAGCGATCTTCTTGTTTCTGATCTTCTCTGTAGACATTTTGGGAGCCAAAAATCCACAGAACTCTGTTGGGAGCAGAAGAAGAGGATGAGTGCCAAACTCGCGAGAGTGTGAGGCTGCTTATCACATGGACTTCTCACATACCACCCCCAATACCTACGTATTTACAAATCTAAGGTAATCTAACACTAAAGTGGATTTCTTACATTCCTACCAATCAAATTGTTATATATGTGTAAACATATAGAAAATTGGGTGGTAGGAATGTAAATAAAGCATCTTAATGACAATAATTTACATACATCTCACAAAATTATTATGCAAATATTTTCATTGTTATATTTTATTTATATCCCATAGAGAGAGTTGAAATGATATATTTAGGGTATGTTTGGGGCAGCGAAGCGGTGACGGTGCGGTGCAGTTTTGTCTATTTGGATAAACTGCATTTTGACAGTTTTTTCACGAAGTAATAGTTGAAATCAACATTTTTCCACCTATCCTAGCTAGGTGTTGTGACAGCTTTCAAACTACAGTCTAACTTTTTTCCAAAAAAAAAAAAAACTATAATAGCTACCGCGGCTTTTTGCAATATCAGATTATTTACCAGCTTTATAGTTGCTTATTAATGAGCTGCAGCTGCCCCAAACAGACCCTTAGTCAACTCACTTAGCCAGTGAGATGATTTAATCATGTGAGTTCCCCAAATCAAGTTGAATCATTAGATTATTTATAAGGAAGCATATATTTCACCTTAAGATGTAATCCAAATGTTGGGAAAGCAAATGGACATAATAGAAAAGCTTCTAATGCCTCTAAGCTATTTATTACTAAAGTTATGAGTGAATAAGTTCACTCAATAACAAATGTGAAAATCATATAAAGCTCATTTTTGTTCATTTATTTATACAATTGAATAAATAAAAACATAACTCTTAAAGCTCATTATAATTGAGCATGCTTAAACTAGAATTGGCTTGTTCATTTATGTTTGTTGCTTAACAAATGACTCATTAAAAACTTAATAATACCTCATTTAATCATGATATGATTGCTTATTTAATGGCTAGTTTTCCTCTTCTTCTTGTCTAATACAACTATTGTGCTTTGCATTTTTTTCTTTGGTGTAACTTCTTTATTGTTGTAGATTTGCCTCTTCTCTTGTTCTTCCTTCTTAAATTTTCAGAAAAAGCTGTGTTGCCATTCAAGAACTTTGATTTTGTATTCTTTTATCGTCATCGTACAATATTTGCATACGTAGTTCTACGAATTATGTCGAACTGTTTTTCCTTATTCCTTCTCCATGCTCTCTTATATATCCTCTCAATCTCCTTGTAAGATAACTCTATCATAATGCATTTTCATATCTTTCTCTCTATTTGAACCATTGAATGGTGGCTTCCTTCTTTAAATGTCAAATTTCTCTAATTTAAATGTCAGATGTTGCCATTGAAGAAATACTTCACTTGCAAAATATAATTTTGCTACCTAAAAAAGATTTTAAATCCATATCTTATCTCTTCTCTTTAACATGTCATCAACTATATATTTAAAATTTACATACATAACACATAATTCATTTATATTTACATGTCTAGTACGTAAAAGTATGATATTTACATTCATAACACTTCAGTATCACAAACCTATGCATGGAAAGGTGTACGCTACTTCTAAAAAGTTCGTAGCAGTGATATTTTTGATGCGATATTAAGGATTAGTCTTTTACACATAAATATGAAAACTTAGGTGTTTGATATGTAAATATATAAGAATTGTGTGGCATGCATGTAAATGTCAAATTTGTCTATCAACCCAACATCTCTAATCACACTCAAGCTGCCTTTGAAGAGTTGGAAGCCATCAAACTTTCTTATGCTTCCACTTTCTATAACAGGAATCAAATAGTTGTGAAACAAATCAACAGATATGCTTATTCAAGCAAGGCATACTTTATGTGGCCATTCCTTGCTGGTTTCTCACATCAGAGCCTCCTTAGTGGCCTGCAAAAGCAAAATGATCATCTGTATTGAAAAAGCAAAAGCAATGCAATAATTAAATCATGTACTAACAGAGAAAATAGTTTCTGCAATTTTTTTGTTTTTTTAAAAATTTAGCTGTTTCTTCTTATCAGCCAGTGAGCACTTCATTTGTTCAGAATCAAGCAGTAGAAGCACAATCATGTCAAGTAGCAGAAGATTGAGACTTTGAAAGCAACTTTCTGATTCATGCATAGGACTGAGACTGAGAAAAAGCAGGCTTTCTGGTGTTGTTTTGTGTTTGTATGAATTATCAGTGTGATGGTTGTAGATGATTTTCAAATCTTAATGGAATTAGATCGGTCTCGAAGCTAGAATTATCGTCGCTGTCGTCATCATCTTTAGCTTTATTGTAGCTATTTGAAGATGGATTTATGAGAGTTTATTGTTCATTAGTTATGGTTGAGGCATTAAATTTAAGGTTTTGCTAATTTCTTTGTAGATCTATCAATGTTTCATTTGGTCTCTCTTTGTTTTTTATGGGCATTTACATACATAGTACACAATTCTAATGTATTTACGTATGACAGAGCAGTCCGAGTATTTAATGTCATATTAAAATAGTATTATTATCATTATTAAAAAACAAAATATACCTTTTCGTGCATAGGTTCTAAACACCAAGATGTTGCTTATGTAAATATGAAATTTTAGGTCTGAGATATGTAAATGCATATAAATTTTGTGCTAGGTATGTAAATTTCCCGATCTTTTTGAGATTTTTACATAAATTAAAGTTGTTAGATTGGTCCCGAAACTAGACTAATCGTTGTTGTCACCATCATCATTAGTTGTATTGTAGTTATTGGAAGCTAGGCTTATGAGACTTTATTCTTCGTTAATTATGGTTGTGTGTTTTTGAAGGCGTTAAATTCAAATTTATTCTAATTTCTTTGTAATACTATCAATATTTTAATTTGTTCTATCTCTTTATTTCCTAGTATGTTTATGTAAATTTATGTTGTTTGACTTATCAGTGTATCTTCTACCCTACGCCTTTATCACATCTACGCTAAAAGTGAGAATAGTGGAGTTATTGATGAAGTAGTTCATACGGATTTAGTAAAGCACAAACCTACAAATATTAAGATTATAAGCATTAAGATTGGTTTATTGGCTAAAAGTGAGAATAGTAGAGTCATTGATGAAGTAGCTCATATGGGTTTAGTAAAACACAAGCCTAAAAATATTAAGATTATAAGCGTTAAGATTGGTTTGTTGGCTATAAGTGAGAATAGTAGAGTCATTAATGAATTAGTTCATATCGGTTTAGTAAGACACAAACCTACAAATATTAAGATTATAAGCATTAAGATTGGTTTATTGGCTAAAAGTGAGAATAGTAGAGTCATTAATGAATTAGTTCATATCGGTTTAGTAAAAAACAAACCTACAAATATTAAGATTATAAGCATTAAGATTTGTTTATTGGCTACCGCTACATCTCTAATATATTCATTTCTCAATTTTATCCTTCAACATTTTTCAATCATTCATATCCATTTTCAAATTTCTATGAATCAGAATTTGATTGCCAACGTCTTTTTTATCAATCAACATTATCATTATGACCGACTTACTTTATACACCTCATTTTCAAGAGTTACTATTCTCACAGTTTCTCTGATATAATCATTCATTGATCTTTTTTTTTTGTGGCACTTCAAACTTGACTATCAACATCTTCTTTTTCATGGAAAATTCATCATCTAAAAGTAATATGTTAGGTATGATAAATGAAAAAGGGCAGCATCATAGTGAAAGCCCAATCTAAAGGCAGGCAGTTGTTTCCCACTATCTAAAGGGCTATAATTATCCACACATCTTGACTGCAAAAAGGCACATTTGCTGCACCTTTTAACTGAGTAAACAGCACTCAGCTAAGTTGCTCAGTAAAAAAATATTTTTTTCCATGTCCCCTTTGATTCTTATGTTGCAATTTTACAAATCAATTTTTTCTTCAAAACAATTCAAAAATTACACATTTAAAGTCTGCAATCCAAAGAGAACTGAGACAAAATAACTACAGAAAAACAAAAAAAACACACCAAAATAAAGGAATCAAACTCCATGATTTCAGGAATTGAGAGCTTCCTTGAAAAGTATAAGAACTCAAAACTAAAACTTTGTTTGGATTGAAGAAGTTGAATGTGATGAAATCCCAAATACAATTATGAATTGATTATGAATCTACACACACTGACTTTAATTTCTTTTTTTTTCCATTTTCTTTCCTTCAAACTGGTTTCCATACTGAAGACCACACAACCGGTTCATCTTTCCATGTCAAGAACAGCCCTGATGAGTCCCCTGAAGCAGGAAACAGAGACCATCCCACCTGATATCTCTTCAGCAAAGCTTTCACGTCATCAATGGCGTCTTCACTGAAACTCCCCGCAGCAAACGCTTTCGATAATCTCTTACACCATTGACTCCCCTTCTCCCTTCTCTCCCCACACTCCGCCTCCCCTCCACAGGCCAAAACACTAAGTATGCTCCTTGAACTCTCCCTCTCCAACATAAGCCTCTCATGGCTCGTTGCCGCGAAGCTCTCCTCCAACATCTCGAAAAACATGGTGTAGAATCTCAAACACTCCTCAAAACACTTAAAAAAGTCATCTTTATTGCTGCTGAAATCCCCCTCTTCCTCCACCACTGTTACAACTCGCGGCCGCAGCGAGCGAATCATTCGAATGAACTCTTCCCGCCTCTCAACCCCAACTTTCCTGAACGCTCCGATACAGTTTACGGCAACCGCTTCGTCTTCCTTGATTCCAAATTCCTTCTCTCTCAGCTCCGACAAGCTCGAAATCCAGCTTATCACATTGAATTCGAATGGGACTCCCATCAGCCGCGCGAATTTCTCCATCCTTTGTCCTATCTCCTTCATGACAGACCCGCCGGCGCCTCCGCCGGCTGAGGCGCCGCCGCCGCCGGCCACAACAACGGAGAGCTTGAGGTGCGGCGTCTCATCGCTGCGGGTCGCGAGTGATTCAAGCAAAGTCGGCCATTGAGTGCAGTATGTGTTACTGATGTCAATTATGTGGAGCTTTGCTTCTCCTTCCAAGGCCTCCAAGATTGCGCTGTTAGAAGCGACATGGCCGAAGGTCGTCCATGGACTCACCTCCTGAAACTTGAGAATCACCTTCCTCGCCGACTCGAAAGAATGGCTCTTTTCAGCTGCAGAAACCAGAGTCTGGTACGACTGATCGCCGGAATCCGTCACCTTGCAGAACAGAGCTTGAAGAAAGTAAGAAGCTATCTTCTGCTCGCAGTCCCCATAAGGTGAAGCGAGCTCATTGAGCATCCATAGAACGTGCTGAATCTTTGCTGAATCCTTATCGCAGATTGCTTTTGCGCATTCTCGGAGAAGATTGGCCGCCCATTTGTTGCTGGTAGCCGTTGGATCGCTTTGCTGCAGAAAAAAATTCGAACTTTGCATGGTTTTTTTAAGCGGTCATGGAAATGGTGGAGAGGAGAGTTTGAAGAGTTCATGTAAGGGAGGAAGGGAGGAGGGAGGAGGGAGGAAGGAGGAATGGGAAGGAGGGAGGGAAAAATAAAATAAAATAAAAAATAAATAAATAAATAATTTAGAGATAAAAGATATTAATTTAAGGAAGTCTAGTCATGAAGATGGTTTAGTATTGTCATGTATCAAGTAAATAATATTGAAATAATAATATCAATAAGATTATTAAATGATAAAATCAACATCACAATTAGGTGGGGTTGTTGTTTCTATTTGGTCTTATGAAATTTTTTTATAATTATGTCAATTATTAGCTAATGTTTTAAAGCCATTTGTTGGATATGATATTAAAGTTAATTAATTAAGTCATAATTAATATGTAGAGAGAGAGAGAGAGGGAGAGAGAAAATTGTATAATTTTTTTTCAAATAATGAAAGGTAAGAAAAATCATATGACAGGTTAATTTGTAATTATCAATATTTTAGATGATCTGTATGTAAGTATCTCATTTTTTATAAGTTTATGAATATGAATAATGGTCGGATTATTTGACTTGTTTAAATTTAAAATTTATCCTAATTAAAATTATTTAAGAAAAAAACATATATTCAAATATCCAGAGCTGCTATTATCTTATTGGAGTATTTTATTGCCAAAATTATGTGATTTGTTCTAAGATAAGGTTAAAAAATGAATAATTAATCAAATATTATATTATATTCATGTTAAAATAAATTAAATAAATTGAAAACTAATTGAAAAGCATAAATAGAAGTAAGAAAATCAAATAAATTTTATATTATATTCATCTTATATATTTGTAAGTATAATTATGGCATTACTGAGAGTTAATCAACCTTTATTCTTAAAAGAAACATGTCAATATATATATATACACACACACACACATATACATAGAGAAGTAAACAGACCTGCTCATTAGCTTGCACATGCTGGTGTTGGGGCAGATAGACCCAACATTACAAAGGATGTCGCCATCATCGCCGCCCCTTCTCACCACCAACACTGACCGCATGTCACTACCCATCATTACCTATCGATCATCGCTCACTGCAAGACTCGCTAGCCATTGTTATTTGTCACTACCAACCACAGCTGTCGATTTGTTCGAAGGCGACACCACTCGCTCCTGCTATAGCCCACTCCAAGTCATGTCGCCGGCAGCGAAGCAACTAGGGCCTTCGCACCCCTCGTGTTTTGATTTCATATTACTTCAAACCAAACACAAGAATGTAAACACACACACATTTTGTTTTATATTGAACCAAACAAATTTAAAATGATCTACACCATATTTCAATTACATTGAATTCTTTTAACACAGTTCATGCATTTATTAACATTTATTAAATATAATTATCGAGTGAACAAATTGTTTTGACAATTGGGATTATGTAAAACATTAGCATCTAAAAAAAGCATGTCAAACGGTTTGTATAACAAAGGTTTAAAATGAGGAATCTTATTAAGCTTTTTATTTTCATAAATGATATTAACGTAAATATAAAAATTTAGACATTACATACGTAAATATAACAAAGATTTAAAATGTAACTGTCTGGGGTTCGGTTCCCCTCTAATCACCTAATGTGCCTAACAATTCGAGTACCACCTTTTTAAGGTCAACTGTGTCAGAGGAGATTTGAACTCCCAACCTGAGAGGCCATATCCCGTGGATGCCAACCAACAGCCCAGGATGCGCGGTACACACACACACACACTATGATAAGATCCTCCAACCATCATCACGTGTGTAACCACTCGATATAGCACTTTAAGGCAAACACACTCAAGTAGGCTCGAACACGTGACCCCAGGAGACTCACGACATACAACGTAGCTACCAACCAAACTGCCACAGCACGCAACACTCTGCGTGTTTGTATATTTTAATAAAAGAGTTCAATCACATTATTTTATTAACCCTCGAAACCTCTCAATAATACATCCTTTTTTCTACGACGTCAAAAACCATTTGCATAAATCAATTCCTTAATTTAGCTTTTAGTGCCCTAATTGATGCTATCTTCAATTTAATTATTCTTTTTTTTTGTTTTAAGCGTATAATTTCTCTACAATAATTTATTTTAGGAAGTTTTACATACATACTACTCAATTCCTATGTATTTACATATCTTAACTCCGAAATTTTAATTTTTACATATTTGCCACCTTTTATATGCATGAAAATGTGTATTTCACCATTTAAAAAATTAAAATTATGATATTTTTGATGCGATATGAAAATTTTAGGCCATATAAATGTAAAAGATTTAAACATCAAATATGCGAATACGTAGAAATTTAGTGGTATTTATGTAAAGGCCACTTGCCCCTATTATACATAATTAGATTTGAAGATAATTACATATAAACCTTGTGAAATATCGATATTTACAATGAAAAATATTGGTTTGAGATTTTGCCATGAATTTTGATATTCGAGTGAGAATTTGAAAAATGGACGAAAGAGGGGTTGATTTGTAAATAGAAAGTTTCGTGCGGTCAAAATATTTACGTATTTTATAATATTTTTTCCTTAAAATATAATTATATATTCTTGCCCTTCTATTTTTAAAAAAAAAACTGAGGTATCTAAAACCTTATTATCCTTGATGAGAATAAACAGAAGATGACAAAACACCAATTTCTTATTTATCTATTTATTTATTTATTAAAAAAATAAAATAATAAAAAAATAAATAATAAATAATATTTTCTTTCCAATATTCCATTCATGAGCATATTAAATTTCAATAATTTTGAATATATTCAATTGAATGGTAATCAACTTTGGGCCCGTCTTTTTTGCTTTAGTTATGGATGCTACTACTGGACATATACAGGAGGATCCACCTTAGTGTATGATTTTCGTTGATGATATCCTTCTTGTGGATCAGACTGGAGAAAGAGCTCGAGAATAACTTAAGTTATGGAAGTCTGCATTAGAGTCTAAAAGCCTTCGTTTGAGTGGATCGAAAACTGAATACTTAGATATTAATTTTAACAGTAGTAGTTCTAATGACAGAGTTATAACTTAGGTGACCAAATCATTAAAAGGTGTGATCGGTTTAGATGTCTCAGATCTGTTGTTCAAAGTGATGATGATATAGATGAGGGTGTTATTAGTAGAATTAAGATTGGTTGGTTCAAAATGGAGGGATGAATCAAACATATTGTGCTAGAAAAGTACCGCTTCGATTGAAAGGAAAATTTTATAAGATGGTATTGAGACCTGCAATGCTCTATGATGCAAAATGCCGATATTTAAAAGATAAGCATAAGACAGGTAAGTGTTACGGAGATGAGAATGCTTCGGTGGATGAGTGGGTTGACACTTAGAGACAAAATGCGAAATGAATATAGAATATATTTGTGATTGAATATATTTGTGATAGGGTTGGTGTAGCTCCAGTTGCAGACAAGATTAGAGAGAGTTGTCTTAGATGGTTTGGTCACATTAAACGCCGACTATCTGATGATCTAGTCAGAAGAGTAGTTGTTCTACATTCGACTTGTGTTAAGAAAAATAGAGACAAGCTTAAAAAGATTTGGGCATATTGTGTAAAAATGATATTAATCAATTAGAATTAAATGAAAATATGATACTCAATAGAATGCAATAGAGAAAAAAAGATTCATACAACCAACCCCACTCAGCGGGATGATGGATTTTTGTTGTTGTTGTTGTTGTTGTTGTTTGTGTGTGCACCATACATTTTTTTATGTATTTACACATCTAACACACAAAGTTAGATATTTACATTCATAGCATCATAGAGTTATAAACCTATTGTGGCTGAAAGATTCAAAGTGATAGAGCAATATTTTAATATCATAGTGTTACATAAAGATCCAACAGATGCACAGATAATAGAAAAATAGCTGGAGGACATCAAGATTTTTTATGTGTAAAATCCCTGGAAATAGAAAAAATCACGAGACCTAGCCTAATCTCAGTAATCCACTATGTGATCGTAAATACATGAGTTCACTCTGTTGGCATCAACATTTGATGTCTCTTTTGTTTGACGTTGGTTGTTGTGTCATGAGACTGTATCTTGTTGATACTTATGTTCTCGCAATGCAAACCGTCGACAAAACCACCTTCGCACATGATTCAGGCTCAAATTGGCTCAATCGTCGACGAATTTATCCAAACGACCTCGCATGATGAAATGGACTGCATAAACGCGCCCGAAGCATCAAGTTTACATAGGGAGAATATCCATACTGCTATTGTTCTGTGCATAAATAGAGGCATACAAATTGATGCATATAACTTCAAATTAAAAAAAATGGAGATTTAAAATAAATAAGAGGGCTTTAAAATCCCTGTTGCTCTCACGATGCTCAAGAGGGCTCTCCCCGAAATCCCCCTCGGCCCGAGCCCACGCCGGCGCTTTCGCCGGCGGCATCCCGCCAGCCTCCCTCGAAGCCTGCAGCCAGTTCCCTACGTTCTTCTCCTCGTCACGCCGGAAACCAAACCCCCAACTCACGTACGCGACACATGCTGAGCCTAATCCCGCGACGCTACCTTGCCGTCGGCGACGTCTCGCTGGTATCCTCTCCCTCTCAATCGCCGGCAAACCGCCGGCCAGCTCTCCCTATCCCTTACCCGAGAGCTTCCTCCACCTCTCACGCTCCTATCCGAGACCATGGAGACGGGTGAAGGGCTGCAACGCGGGGATCGTGATGCAAAATAATGCAAAATTCGATCTCCTCCTGCAACACTGCTGCTTCTTGGGGAACCTTCTCGCCGGCGTTCCCTCTCTTGGCAAAGCTTCCCGCCGGCGATCTCCTTCTGCTCAGTTTCGCCAACTCACGACTTGAGCTAATAGGGAGGCAGCGGCCGGATCTACGGCCGAAATCAGCAAAGGCCGGATTTATGAAATCAGAGGCTTTATTTTGTCCAATACAAACCATGTGGCGAGATTTAGGTCAAATTCAG